TCGGAGGGAGCACACGTGCAACAACCCCCCTTGTAGCGTTAATGCCACCCCAGGAGGAGCCCCCCCAGGGACGTGTCCTTGTGCTGGTGGCATCAGCACCAGCGGGAGCTGGTTCCTGCCCAGCGCTGGGTTAATGCTGGAGCTGCTGGAAACCCTCTGGGGGTGCTCAGGGGAAGCTCTGCAGCGGCACTCACAGCCTGGGAAGTTCTCTCCTGCGTCAGAAGCCTCCAGACGCTGCCCAGCAGCCGTGTTCCATGAGGCAGCGCCCATCCTGCCCGCTGAGGAGGCGCTGGCACCAATGGGCTCGCGGCCCTGCCAGTGATCCGTGATCCAGTTTGGGTCGAGACCCCGCACTCGGAGCAGAGCCAGGCCGAGAGGGACCTGCAGGACCAGGACCTGCAGCCCCACGTTGGACATGGGCAATGCTGTCCCCACCACGGGCGGTTGCTGGTGCCCAGGAGCAGCTTTGGCAGAGTTCTCCCTGCTGGGAGCAGAGTTTGTTCCCAAGTGTGGCTGCTCCGGACCCACCGGGGGAGCCAGGGCTGGATCAGGCCATCAGATGTTCATGGAGCACCATTACCCAGCATCAGAAACACCCAGTGTGGTTTGGAGGAGCTGCAGCTGGGATCCAGGAGGGACCAAAGCCTGGAGCATGCAGGAGGGTCCGGCTCCGAGGAAGAGGAGGATGGAGCAGTGGGATCCCTGCTGGAGCATCGCTCTGCACCCGCTGTGCCAGGAGCTGCTGATCCAGGGATCTTGGAGCTGCCACCTCAGCTCTTCATGGGCTTCACGTGGCTTGGAGCAAGCTGCTCCAGTGGAAGGTGCCCCTGCCCTGCAGGGGTTGGAGCTGGAGAAGCTTCAAGGTCCCTTCCAACACAAACCAGGCCTGGATTCAATGATCTCTTCCATGGAGGGGGACTAAAATGGCCTTACACCTCACAGCAGAGCAGAATGACACCGGGATCATCGCTGTCACTCAGCCTCGATGGCTTTTAGAGGTTACTGAGAGCTTTCTCCCTGCTTTCCAGGGTCTGGTGTGGTTTGAGCTGGGGAAGATGCTCCTCAGCCAGTGCCCAGCCCACGGCCCATGGGGCAGGGCTCAGGGCTTGCTATTGCTGTGGGAGCAGTCTCAGCACAAGCACAGGCTGGAGATGGGATGGAGCAGCTCCAAGAGACCCGAGAGCAGCTCCAGTGCCTAAAGGGGCTCCAGGAAACCTGGAGAGGAGCTTGGGACAAGGGCCTAAAGGGACAGGACAAGGGGAATGGCTTTAACCTGCCAGAGGGGAGATTGGGATGAGCTCTTTGGTGTTACTCAATGCAATCCCTGTTTAGCCCTATGAGAACTCCCAAGGATGCTGGAGTGCTCCTGAGGAGCCTTCCCCTGCTCCTCAGTGAGCCCATGTTTATCTGAGGGCTTTCAGCTCTTCCTGTGGCCATTACAAGGCAGATTGTGCCAGCAGGAGATGTTATGGGAGATGGTATCGGAAGGAGGCTTCTGTTGAGTGCAGGCTGCTGGGAAAGGCTGGAAGTGAGCAAAGAGGATTTGGGATAATGCAGGAGTAATTGCTGCGGCGGGGGGGTGCTGGTGAAACAGGGAGGGAAGCAGCTGGAAGGGCTCTCAGCTGGGTTTGGGTGGGAATATGGACATGGCTTTGGGTGCTGGGGAGAAACGGGGTGGTGGGAGCGGTGCTGTGGCCATCAGGCCCTGCCTCTGGGCTGCAGGCACTGAGCGGCTGCTGATGGGCTTTAAGTGCCTCAATCCCATGGGATCGTGTGGTTGAGGCTTTATTGATCCTCTGCTCCTGGGTACTTTAAGCTGCGGATGAGGTAATGGGATAAAGGGGGGAGGCGGGTGCTGTGCATGGGGTTGTGTCCGGAAGGGGGAAGCAGAGCCCGGGGCTGCAGCATCGCGGTGCGGGGCTGGTGGTGACCGCCGGGTCCCTCCAGCGACCCAAGGGGTCGAGGGGAGGGGAAGATGGTGTTTGAACACAGCCCCTTGCTCAGGACAGCCCTGGTCGTGCTGCCCAGCCCCTCCTTAGGGGTCCCCTCATGCCCAGCCCGGCCGGTGCCGTGGTGATGGTCCTGGGTTAGGGAAGAGCCTGCTGGGATGCTCCGGGCTCTGCTCCCGTGGCTGGCTCCCCGCGGCGCCGGGCTCCCCGCACTAACGGCCCCCCTGTCTTGTCTCTTGTCTCTCTCCGTGCCCTGGCGCTGCTGCGGGCTCTGTCTCTGCTCCTGTCCTCTCCTGTCCTGTCCTGTCCTGTCCTGTCCCTCCTCTCTGCCTCCCGCTGCCTGCAGAGCACCGCCCGCAGGGCCAAGGTGAGCAGCGCCGCGCCCCCGGCTCCGGCCGGCACCGTGTGCGGAGCACGGTCCCATCCAGAGGGATGAGGTGCTCCGGAGCCATGAGCTGCTCCAGAGGGATGAGGTGCTCCGGAGCCATGAGCTGCTCCAGAGGGATGAGGTGCTCCGGAGCCTTGAGCTGCTCCAGAGGGATGAGGTGCTCCAGAGGGATGAGGTGCTCCGGAGCCATGAGGTGCTCCAGAGCCTTGAGCTGCTCCAGAGGGATGAGGTGCTCCGGAGCCATGAGCTGCTCCAGAGGGATGAGGTGCTCCGGAGCTGTGAGCTGCTCCAGAGGGATGAGGTGCCCCAGAGGGATGAGCTGCTCCAGAGGGATGAGCTGCTCCAGAGGGATGAGGTGTTCCAGAGGGATGAGGTGCTCCGGAGCCATGAGCTGCTCCAGAGGGATGAGGTGCTCCAGAGGGATGAGGTGCTCCAGAGGGATGAGGTGCTCCAGAGGGATGAGGTGTTCCAGAGGGAGGAGGTGCTCTGGAGCCATGAGCTGCTCCAGAGGGATGAGCTGCTCCAGAGGGATGAGCTGCTCTGGAGCCATGAGCTGCTCCAGAGGGATGAGGTGCTCCAGGGGGATGAGGTGCCCCAGAGGGATGAGCTGCTCCAGAGGGATGAGGTGCTCCGGAGGGATGAGGTGCTCCAGAGCCATGAGCTGCTCCAGAGGGATGAGCTGCTCCAGAGGGATGAGCTGCTCCAGAGGGATGAGCTGCTCCAGAGGGATGAGGTGCTCCAGAGGGATGAGGTGCTCTGGAGCCATGTCTGGATCACTGGGGACAACCCCCCTTGTGCAGAGCCCCATAGCAAACCTGGTGCTCGCAGCTGGAGCTCCTCTGAGGGCTGGAGCATCAGGGATGCCCGGGCTGGCCGGTGGCAGAGCTCGCTCTCGCTGTCCCTTACATTGCTGCTTCCTTCCTCCTGCTGTTTCCCAGCCTCTGAGGGCACTTCCCATTGGATCTCCTTCACTCCCAGACGGGTTTAAACCCCCGGAGCTGCAGGAATGAGAACGTCTCCGTTGCAGCAGCTCCTGGGGATGGTGTTCGGTGCCCAGAGACCGTTCCCAGCCCGGGAGGGACGGGGCTGCCGGCCCCTTGCACCCATTGCAGCTGGGATCCAGCGTGCTGGGGACCTGCCTGCTGCTGCCTTAGGGGTGGGATGGGGTGGAGGAGCTGAGCCCCTGCCCCGGGGGTACCGCAGGGAGCCAGGCACTGAATTCACCCACACAGAGGTGAGGGCTGCAGGGCACAGCTCCAGGAGGGGCAGAGCAGGGGGTGCTGAGGGACCCGGGGCCTTCGCAGTGGGGCCAGCGTCTGAGCAGCCCCCCCAGTGCTGTGGGAGCAGTTCCTGCTGCTCTGGGTGCTCCAGGCTCCGCCAGCTCCCCTGGATGCTGCCGGCTCATCTTGTCCTTCCCCCTTGGGCTCAGTGCTGTGTCCCCAGCACCGGGTGGCCTTGCTGTGGTCCTGGGCACTGATGTGTCCCGTTGGGATTGCAGATGTGGAGGTGGATGGGGAGAAACCATCCCTGCTCCCGTCTCTGTGTGCTTCAGGTTCTGGGGCTGGAGCACCCAAACCTCTGCCAAGGACACGCGGTTCCCTGCTCCATCCCTGGGTGTGACCCATGGGATGGGGCTGGGCTGACCGATGGGATGGAGCTGGGCTGACCCATGGGATGGGGTTGGGCTGACCCATGGGATGGGGCTGGGCTGACCCATGGGATGGGGCTGGGCTGACCCTTGGGATGGGGTTGGGCTGACCCTTGGGATGGGGTTGGGCTGACCCATGGGATGGGGTTGGGCTGACCCATGGGATGGGGTTGGGCTGACCCATGGGATGGGGCTGAGCTGACCCATGGGATGGGGCTGGGCTGACCGATGGGATGGGGCTGGGCTGACCGATGGGATGGGGCTGGGCTGACCCATGGGATGGGGCTGGGCTGACCCATGGGATGGGGCTGGGCTGACCGATGGGATGGGGCTGGGCTGACCCATGGGATGGGGTTGGGCTGACCCATGGGATAGGGCTGGGCTGACCCATGGGATGGGATTGGGCTGACCCATGGGATGGGATTGGGCTGACCGATGGGATGGGGCTGGGCTGACCGATGGGATGGGGCTGAGCTGACCCATGGGATGGAGCTGGGTGGAGGGTGAGGAGTGGGTGCGGGGGGTTTGCAGGGAGAGGGAATTCCTGCTCCTGCGGGAGGGAGCGCGGCTGCTCCTGCCTCCTGCAGCAGAACGAGACCTGCTCTGGGTTGTGAACCAGGCAGGGTGACAGCGTGGTCCCTGCCTTCAGCAGTGGGTGTCTGTGGGGCAGGCCAAGGGGAATGGCTTTAACCTGCCCGAGGGGAGGCTGAGATGAGCTCTGAGGCAGAAGCTCTTCCCTGTGAGGGTGCTGAGGCGCTGGCACAGGGTGCCCAGAGAAGCTGTGGCTGCCCCATCCCTGGCAGTGCTCAAGGCCAGGTTGGACACAGGGGCTTGGAGCAAGCTGCTCCAGTGGAAGGGGTCCCTGCCCGTGGCAGGGGTTGGGGCTGGAGGAGCTTTAAGGTCCCTTCAACCCACCCCACTCTGGGGTTCTGTGAAGTGTGGGTCTGGCACCTGGTGTTGGAAGCATCACCCCCGTTGTCCCGGCCCCCCTGACCCCTCTGTGCTGCTGTTCCAGCCCACCCGGACCCCCAGCTCCGCCGCGTCCAGCGGCACGGCTGGACCCTCGGGCTCGGCCTCGGCCTCGGGGGGGGAGATGAGCAGCAGCGAGCCCAGCACCCCCGCGCAGACCCCGCTGGTGGCACCCATCATCCCCTCGCCCAGCCTGGCCTCGCCGCTCGCGCCCCCCGTCCCATCACCCACAAAGGTAAAGATGAGGCCTGGGGGGTGCTGGGTGCAGGGGGAGACCCCAAAGGGTCCCAGGAGGGGGGGGCACGGGCAGGGGAGCAGGAACGGATCGGGGTGGATGCACACTGGGGACCCTCCCGCCTCGAGACACACAGAGCACCCCGGTGGGACCGCTGCCTCCCAGGGGGGTGTCTGTGCTGCTCCCATCCATCAGCACTTACCCCGGTCCTGCTCTTTAACACCCTTATTTCCCTCCTGCTCTGTCATCATTGCTTAAAGCTGGAGCTGCGGAAGGGTTTGGGGCAGGAGGGCGAGGAGGGAGCAGGGCAGGGCGCAGGGAGCTCGCCTGGGGTGGGTTCTGCAGCGATGCCGGGTTGGGGCTGCAGGAGGAGGAGAACCTGCGGGCTCAGGTCCGGGACCTGGAGGAGAAGCTGGAGACGCTGAAGATAAAGCGCAACGAAGACAAGGCCAAGCTCAAGGAGCTGGAGAAGTACAAGATCCAGCTGGAGCAGGTGCAGGAGTGGAAGAGCAAGATGCAGGAGCAGCAGGCTGAGCTCCAGAGGCGTCTGAAGGAGGCCAAGAAGGTGAGGGTGTCCCCATGGGCCCCTTCCAGTGCGTCCCCATGGGATCCTTGCAGTGTGTTCCTATGGGCCCCTTCCAGTGCATCCCTGTGTGTCCCCATGGGCCCCTCCCAGTGCGTCCCCATGGGCCCCTTGCAGTACATCCCTGTGTGTCCCTATGGGCCCCTTCCAGTGCATCCCTGCGTCCCCATGGACCCCTTGCAGTGCGTCCCCATGGGCCCCTTGCAGTGTGTCCCCATGGGCCTCTTCCAGTGCATCCCTGTGTCCCCATGGGCCCCTTCCAGTGCATCCCTGTGTGTCCCTATGGGCCCCTCCCAGTGCATCCCTGTGTCCCCATAGGCCCCTTCCAGTGCATCCCTGTGTCCCCATGGGCCCCTTCCAGTGCATCCCTGTGTCCCCATAGGCCCCTTCCAGTGCATCCCTGTGTCCCCATGGGCCCCTTCCAGTGCATCCCTGTGTCCCCATGGGCCCCTTCCAGTGCATCCCTGTGTCCCCATAGGCCCCTTCCAGTGCATCCCTGTGTCCCCATGGGCCCCTTGCAGTGCGTCCCCATGGGCCCCTTCCAGTGCACCCCTGTGTCCCCATGGGCCCCTTGCAGTGTGTCCCTATGGGCCCCTTTCAGTACATCCCTGTGTGTCCCCATGGGCCCCTTCCAGTGCATCCCTGTGTGTCCCCATGGGCCCCTTCCAGTGCATCCCTGTGTGTCCCCATGGGCCCCTGCCAGTGCATCCCTGTGTCCCCATGGGCCCCTTCCAGTGCATCCCTGTGTGTCCCCATGGGCCCCTCCCAGTGCACCCCTGTGTCCCCATGGGCCCCTTCCAGTGCATCCCTGTGTGTCCCCATGGGCCCCTTCCAGTGCACCCCTGTGTCCCCATGGGCCCCTTCCAGTGCATCCCTGTGTGTCCCTATGGGCCCCTCCCAGTGCATCCCTGTGTCCCCATGGGCCCCTTCCAGTGTGTCCCTATGGGCCCCTTTCAGTACATCCCTGTGTGTCCCCATGGGCCCCTTCCAGTGCATCCCTGTGTCCCCATGGGCCCCTTCCCCGGTGGGGAATGCTTGGAGCGGATGATCCCGAAGCTCTTTCCCACCCTGGCTCATGCTTCCGTGACTCCGTGGTTATGAGGGGGTCTCTCCGTTGCTTGCCACGAGGTTTCCCGGCTCTCCCCCTCCCCTCCTTGTGCTTGACCGCAGGAAGCCAAGGATGCTCTGGAGGCCAAGGAGCGCTACATGGAGGAGATGGCAGACACTGCTGACGCCATCGAGATGGCCACCCTGGACAAGGAGATGGCAGAGGAGCGGGCAGAGTCCCTGCAGCAGGAGGTGGACTCCCTCAAGGAGAAGGTGGAATACCTCACCATGGACCTGGAGATCCTGAAGCACGAGATTGAGGAGAAAGGTGGGAAGGGGCGGCCTTTGGGCTCCTCTCAGGCTTAGGTTTCATCCCACCCCAGAGGGTGTTGGACCGGGGTGGACGCTGCATGGGAGGTCACGCAGGGGCTCTGTCTGTTACTGCTCCAGCCCCATGGCTGCACTGAGCACCCCCCATCTGTGGGATGCCTTGGTTGGATTCCCTGGGGCCTTTGAGCTCTTGGTGTTCAAGGTGGGCTTTAAACCCTGCTCACAGCAGCAGAGGAGCCGTTAAACACATGGAGAGGTGCATCCCACAGTGCCCCATCCCTGGCAGTGCTCAAGGCCAGGTTGGACACAGGGGCTTGGAGCAAGCTGCTCCAGTGGAAGGGGTCCCTGCCCGGGGCAGGGGTTGGGGCTGGAGGAGCTTTAAGGTCCCTTCCAACCCAAACCAGGCTGGGGTTCTGTGGTTCTGTGACCTCTAGTATTGGCATTCACCTGAAACCAGAGCCATGCCCCTAGCAGCTGATGTGGCAGGATGTGGGATGGGAGGGATGGGATGAGAAGGGATGGGATGGGGATGGGGATGGGGATGGGATGGGATGGGATGGGAGGATGTGATGGGAAGGCACTGGAGGGCACGGGCAGCACAGGACTGGTGTGCAGGGGATGGAGCAGTAGCTGGGATGCGCAGGGTCCTTGGTGTGAGTTTGCTTTGGCTGGAGCCTGAGGCTCAGGGGCTGAGGGCGCCCGTGGCACCGGTGGGAGCTGAGCTGCCCCAGCCCCGCGGGCGCTGGCGCGGCGCTGACCGGTGCCACTGCTCCGCGCCAGGCTCGGACGGAGCAGCCTCCAGTTACCAGGTGAAGCAGCTGGAGGAGCAGAACGCCCGGCTCAAGGAGGCTCTGGTGAGGTAGGGCTCGGCCTGCGCTGCCCCGGGCTGGAACTGGGTGGCTTCAAGGTCCCCTCGACCCGGCCCGGTCGTGGCTGCCCTGGTGCAGCTGCGGCTCCATCCTGTGCACGGGTCCTGCCCCAGGCTCAGCTCCGCGGCTCCTTGCCCTGCATGAGCCCATCCCCTGGGGCCACAGAGCCTGGAGGTGCCCCCAGCGCTGTCCCTGTGCCCCTCAGCCCCCCGTGTGCTGCGCTTGGGGGCAGAGAACACCCCGTGCTCCCCCGTGGCTGGGCCTGGGCGCCAGGAGGGGTGGGAAGGGTCCCTTCCCGATGGGAAGCACCAGGGAGTGCCTGGCAGGGACATCCAGAGCTGGGCCCGCTTGGAAGGCGGTGAATGAATGCGGCTCCGTTTGCTTTGGGTTCTTCGGCCTTGTGCTTCAGCCTGTCCCATTCACAGCTTTCCTTTCCTTTTCCTTTTCCTTTTCCTTTTTCCTTTTTCCTTTTTCCTTTTCCTTTTCCTCTCCTCTCCCCTCTCCTCTCCCCTCTCCTTCCCTTCCTGCTCCCTTTCCCACATCCCCATCTCTGTGCTCTCCCTGTCGCTCCCATCGCACTGAAGGAAGGTGCCTCCTCATCCCCCGCTGCCCACGAGCTGTTCTCTGGGTACCCCCGGAGCTGCTCCCCGCTGGAGCCCCCCAGGAGCAGGGCCTGGGCAGGGCAGTGCCGCTGCTGCCGGCTCCCGGGGCCCTGCAGGCTCCGACGGCTCCGGTTGCTCTCTTGAAGGATGCGGGACTTGTCTGCCTCCGAGAAGCAGGAGCACGTGAAGCTGCAGAAGCAAATGGAGAAGAAGAACACGGAGCTGGAGTCGCTGCGGCAGCAGAGGGAGAAGCTGCAGGAGGAGGTGAAGCAGGCGGAGAAGACGGTCGATGAGCTGAAGGAGCAGGTGAGGCCCCGGGCCGGGCATGGCGCCCGTCCCACAGTGACCCCACAGCCTGCAACGGGGGCGATGGAACCGAGCTGGGCCCTGCCCGGCCACGGCTGGCTCCTGGGCACAGGGCGTCCGTGGGGCTTTGGGGCTGCTCTGGGGCCGCTGCTCGCTCAGCGCCGCTCCATCACTTGTCCCTGCCCGGGTCACCCCTGTGGGGCTTGTCCCGGCCAGGCTGGGCCCCGGGGCAGGAACGGGGCTGCCCTTGGGAAGGAGCTGCAGTCACTGCGGAGCGGGCTGGGAATCCCCCCCGCTGCAGCCCCCGAGCACGGGCCTGAGCTGTGCAGGCAATGGGCTCTTCCCCGGGGTGATGCTGCTTCGTGCGCTCACTGGGTGCTCAGGGGACAGGGAGCACGGGGAGCCTCGAGCCAGGGCTCTCAGGTCTCAGCGGGGGGATCAGCACCGTGGAGCTGCTCAGCCTCGTGCCCGGTGCTGCAGCTGAAGAGCCCGGAGCAGCCAAGAGCCGAAGCCAGGGCTCCCCTCAACCTCCCACCCTCAGGGGCCGCGGGTTTGAGTCGCTGTTGGGCTCCTGCTCTGCTCCCAGGAGGAGCAAAGCCTCACCCCGGGCCCGAGACTCAGCCACAAGCCATGGGGGCAGCTTGGTAGGGGGATCCCAGGGGGTAGGGAAGGAGTTTGGAGCACTGCAGCAAACCCAGCTCCGGGGTGACGGGATGGGATGGGATGGGATGGGATGGGAAGGGATGGGATGGGATGGGATGGGATGGGATGGGAAGGGATGGGATGGGAAGGGATGGGATGGCATGGGAAGGGATGGGATGGGAAGGGATGAGATGGGATGGGATGGGATGAGATGGGATGGGATGGGATGGGATGGGATGAGATGTGCTGTGTGCTTGCAGGTGGATGCTGCTCTGGGAGCTGAGGAGATGGTGGAGACACTGACGGAGAGAAACCTGGACCTGGAGGAGAAGGTCCGGGAGCTGCGCGAGACCGTCGGGGACCTGGTAAGCGGGGTCGTGTGGTGGGGGGGTGGCAGAGGGTGCCCCCATGGTGTGACCGTGTCCTGTGTCTCATGTCCCATATCCCATGTCCTGTGTCCCATATTCCATGTCCCATGTCTCATGTACCGTGTCCCATGTCCTGTATCCCATACCCCATGCCCCATATCCCATACCTCATATCCCATATCCCATGTCCCCATGTCCCGTGTACCATATCCCATATCCTATGCCCCATATCCCGTACCCCATGTCCCATTCGCCATATCCCATGCCCCATATCCTATATCCCATATCCCATGTCCCATATCTCATATCCATACCCCATATCCCATACCCCGTGTCCCATGTTCCATATCCCATGCCCCATATCCCATGTCCCGTGCCCCATACCCCATACCCCATGTCCCATATCCCATACCCCATGTCCCATATCCCATACCCCATGTCCCATATCCCATATCCCATACCCCATGTCCCATATCCCATACCCCATGTCCCATATCCCATACCCCATGTCCCATATCCCATATCCCATACCCCATGTCCCATATCCCATACCCCATGTCCCATATCCCATACCCCATGTCCCATATTCCATACCCCATGTCCCATACCCCATGTCCCATATCCCATACCCCATACCCCATGTCCCATATCCCATACCCCATGTCCCATACCCCATGTCCCATATCCCATACCCCATATCCCATACCCCATGTCCCATACCCCATACCCCATACCCCATGTCCCATATCCCATACCCCATGTCCCATACCCCATGTCCCATATCCCATATCCCATACCCCATATCCCATACCCCATGTCCCGTGCCCCATACCCCATATCCCATATCCCATGTCCCATACCCCATGTCCCATATCCCATACCCCATATCCCATGCCCCATATCCATACCCCATATCCCATACCCTGTATTCCATGCCCCATGCCCCATATCCCATACCCACCCCCCATACCCCATATCCACCCCCCACCCCCATTCCCATGCCCCTTTCCCCACATCAATACCAAACTCCGCGTGGCCGCGTCCCGCAGGAGGCCATGAACGAGATGAACGACGAGCTGCAGGAGAACGCGCGGGAGACGGAGCTGGAGCTGCGGGAGCAGCTGGACCTGGCGGCGGCGCGGGTGCGCCAGGCCGAGCGCCGCGTCGAGGCCGCGCAGGAGACCCTGGCCGACTACCAGCAAACCATCAGCAAGTACCGGCAGCTCACGGCGCACCTGCAGGTGTGTGTGGAGCCCCGGCGCTGGCAGGGACGGGGTGGGGGGAGGCCATGGGGAGGCCTTGGCTTTACGGCGGCGCTGCCGGTGAGAGCTTGGGAAGCTCCCGTGTTCCCTTTGCTCACGTGCACCCACCGCTGCGTGCGGCGCACGGTGAGCGCCCAGGGCTGCACCCGGCCCCGCCTCAGGAAGGGGCTGTGGGGAGCTCGGCTGGGGATGGAGAGTCAGGGACTCATGGAAGGGTTTGGGTTGGAAGGGGCCTTAAAGCTCCTCCAGCCCCAACCCCTGCCCCGGGCAGGGACCCCTTCCACTGGAGCAGCTTGCTCCAAGCCCCTGTGTCCAACCTGGCCTTGAACACTGCCAGGGATGGGGCAGCCACAGCTTCAACCCCTTCCCATGTCCCAACGTCCTCATAGGGAAGAACTTCCCTGTATCCCATCCAACTCTTCCCTCTTCCAGCTGGAAGCCCTCATCCTATCCCTGCATCCCTTGTCCCAAGCCCCTCTCCAGCTTTCCTGCAGCCCCTTCAGGCACTGGAGCTGCTCCAAGCTCTCCCCTTCAGGAGCCTTCTCCCGTCCAGGCTGCCCCAGCCCAGCTCTCTCAGCCTGGCTCAGAGCAGAGCTGCTCCAGCCCTGCAGGGGCTGTGGGGCTGTGCCTGCTCCGTGCTGCTGCCCATGCCCCATCTCCCTTCTCCCCGTGGCAGGACGTGAACCGGGAGCTCATGAGCCAGCAGGAAGCCTCTGCCGAGAAGCAGCAGCAGCCTCCGCCCGAGATGTTCGACTTCAAGATCAAGTTTGCAGAGACAAAGGCTCACGCCAAGGTAGGGCAGCCCCGGCTCCTGGGGAGCTCCTGGGGTGCTCCTGGCCCCCCAACACCGGCAGCAGCGTCCGGGCACCAGGCTCCGGGTGTTCCCTCGTGGCGCTGGCCCGTGGGGCTCGTGCCAGCCACGGGAGGAGCTGGGTGGCTGCTGGGAGGAGCGTGGGGCGCAATGGATGGGACCCGTGGGCTCAGCAGTGGGCAGCGGGGCTGTGCGGGGCAGGGCTGGTGGAGCAGGAGGAAAAGCAGCTCTGCTTCCAGAGCCTTCCGGTGCTGCTGCTGCTGCGGCGGTGGGACCAGGCTCCTGCCGTGCCTGGGGCTGGGCACCTGCCCAGGGCACCGCTGGGTGTCAGGGAGCCCCTCTCCGGGTTTCCTGTGGCCCCTGGGGCCGCTCCGAGGTCTCCTGGAGCCTCCCCTGCTCCAGGCTGAGCCTTCCCGACGCTGTCCCGTCCCCCCCAGGCCATCGAGATGGAGCTGCGGCAGATGGAGGTGCAGCAGGCCAACCGCCACGTCTCCCTGCTCACCTCCTTCATGCCCGACAGCTTCCTGCGCCACGGCGGCGACCACGACTGCGTCCTGGTGCTGCTGCTCATCCCGCGCCTCATCTGCAAGGTGGGGCCGGGCCTCGGGGCCTTGCGTGGGGCTGGGGGGATCATCACCGAGCCGGGGTTAACCGGGAGCTGGTGGCTCCGGGGGATGCCTCTGCCCTTGCTGTGCCGCTCGCATCCGGGATTTGGGATGCTTCCTTCTTTGAGGACTTCCAAATTGGCCAAGGGCCTGTAGGGGAATGGCTTTAACCTGCCCGAGGGGAGGGAGACTGGGATGAGCTCAGGCAGAAGCTCTTCCCTGGGAGGGTGCTGAGGCGCTGGCACAGGGTGCCCAGAGAAGCTGTGGCTGCCCCATCCCTGGCAGGTTGGACACAGGGGCTTGGAGCTGCTCCAGTGGAAGGGGTCCCTGCCCGTGGGGCTGGAGGAGCTTTAGGGTCCCCTCACCCCAGCCCAGGGGCAGGATGTGACCGTGGGTCCCCGTCCCCCCCGCAGGCGGAGCTCATCAGCAAACAGGCGCAGGAGCGCTTCGAGCTGAGCGAGAGCTGCGCGGAGCGCGCGGGGCTGCGCGGGGCTGCAGGGGAGCAGCTGAGCTTCGCCGCGGGGCTCGTGTACTCGCTGAGCCTGCTGCAGGCCACGCTGCACCGCTACGAGCAGTGAGTACCCCGGGAGGCGTCCCCGGCGCCGGGGGCAGCGGAGGGATCCCGTTGGGTGCTTGGGGATGGGCTCAATCCCTCCTCGGTTCCCCGCCCCGCGCCGGGATCCGGTTCTCCAGCGCCTGCTGCTCGTTCCTCACCGGAGCTTTGGTGCTTTCCTTGGCTCCATCCTGCCGGGAGCCGCTCCCCGGCCTCTCGCTGGGCTCAGTTCTAAGGCTCAGGGTTCAGCCGGGCGCGTGGGCTCTGCCTCGGCTCCTGTTTCCCCCCGGAGCGTGTGGTTCCCCATCCCCGCAGGGAGCACACGAGATCCTGGCCCCGGTGCCTCCATTGACCCCCATTGCTCCTCCTAGCGCGTGCTCAGGGCAGGCCCCTGGTGGAGCCCATCCCTGCAGCTCCGCTCCCCCCTAAACCCCTTCCTTAACACCGCGGCACCTCTGGTCCCCGAGCCCCCCACTTCCACCCCTGGCCCTTTCCCCTCCCCAGCAGAGCCAACGCATCCCATTGCCCCGCAGGGCCCTCAACAAGTGCACTGTGGAGGTGTACAAGAAGGTGGGGACCCTGTACCCCGAGATGAGCGTCCACGAGCGCTCGCTGGACTTCCTCATCGACCTGCTGCACAAGGACCAGCTGGATGAGACCGTCAACGTGGAGCCGCTCACCAAGGCCATCAAGTACTACCAGGTGGGGCCATGGGGCTGAGTGCCTGTGGCCGGGCTGGGGGGTCCTGCTGGGTCAGGAGCTGGTGCAGCCCCGCTGGGGCATGCTGTGGTTGGAAGTGGAGCCCTTGGATGCAGGGGAGTTCAGTCCCGGTTAAAACTGAGGCCAAACCCTCTGCGTTTGGGGCTTTGGGGTCTCCCCGGGGGGTTGTTTGTGTGCGTGGAAGCATTGGAGGGTGCTCACCTCTGCTGTCTCTCCACAGCATCTCTACAGCATCCACCTGTCTGACCAGGCTGAGGACTGCACCATGCAGCTGGCTGACCACATCAAGGTGAAGGGGGCAAAACCTGGCTCCGTCCTTGGGGCGGGTTTTCATGGAGCCATCAGATCCCAGAGTGGTTTGGGTGGGAAGTGACCTTAACCCCATCCAGCTCCAGCCCCTTCCACTGGAGCTGCTTGCTCCAAGCCCCTGTGTCCTGGTGTTGCCCTTTCTGCCCCCTCGAGAGGTGAAGTGCATCCGCTCCCCCTCTCCCATCACAGGCCCTTTGCCAGCACCCAGGGGTGGCTCAGAGGGGATGAGGGCTCCCAGGGCAGGGAACGGGGAAGCAGACGCAGGACCATGTGCCCTATAGATGTCTCACAGAGGGAGAAGAGCAGCAGGAGAGCACGGAGAACCCGGTGCCTGTAGGGAGTGTTGTAGTGCCCTGAGCTCCTATGGGGAGTACCCGTGTCCCCTGGAGCAACCCAGAACCTGCGTGGTGCCTGCTCTGCTGCTCCTGTAAACCCTGGGGCTGTGGAGTCATGGAAGGGCTGCGCTGGGATCATCCAGTCCCAGCCCCTGCCCCAGGCAGGGACGCCTCACCCTATAGACCGTGTCACCCAAGTCCCGTCCAGCCCGGCCCCGAGCCCTGCCAGGGACGGGGCACTCAGCACTAACGTCTATGGAGGCTCCATCCCATAATGCCCGCGTGGCCGTGCTGCGCCGGGGCTGAGGCTGCTGCTCCGCTCTCAGTTCACACAGAGCGCCCTGGACTGCATGGGTGTGGAGCTGTGCCGCCTGCGCGCCTTCCTGCAGGTACAGCGGGGCCGGGGCGTCCCGCGGGGTCCTGAGCGCGCGGCGGGTGCTGAGCCCCCTCGTGTGCGCAGGGCGGGCAGGAGGCCTCCGACCTCGCCATCCTGCTCAAGGACCTGGAGACCTCCTGCAGCGACGTGCGCCAGTTCTGCAAGAAGATCCGGCGCCGCATGCCCGGCACCGAGGCCCCCGGCATCCCCGCGGCGCTGGGCTTCGGGCCGGCGGTGAGCGGGGCCCGGTGCGGCGCGGTGCGGGGTGGGATGGGGTGGGCGCTGCCCTGCGGGTGAAGGGGAGAGCTCAGGGGCTGGGGGGGTCTTTGGGCTCCTGCTTGGGATGGAGACGGGGACGTTGTGGCCTTCCCTTGTCCAGCACTCGGCTGCTTCTGCTGGAGAGTCCCTTTGTGGAGTCAAGGAATGGGTTGAATCCCATCCAGCCCCAAGCCCTGCCACGGGCAGGGACCCCTTCCACTGGAGCAGCTTGCTCCAAGCCCTGTGTCCAATCTGGCCTTGAGCACTGCCAGGGATGGGGCAGCCACGGCTTCAACCCCTTCCCGTGTCCCACCGCCCTCACAGGGGAGAACTTCCCTGTATCCCCCCCAGCTCTTCCCTCTTCCAGCCGGAAGCCCTCATCCCATCCCTGCCTCCCTTGTCCCCAGCCCCTCTCCACGTTCCCTGTACCCCCCTCAGCTGCTCTCAGCTCTCCCCACCCCACAGCAGAGGGGCAGGATCCCCTCCCGGCGCTGCTGCTCCCGCTCCGGGGTGCTCCCAGCACGGGGGGGTCCAGGACCGGGTCCTGGGGAGGGAGCCTCCCCTCGCCCCGCTCCAAGCCCGGCCGTGCCGCGCAGGTCTCGGACACGCTGCTCGAGTGCCGCAAGCACCTCACGTGGGTGGTGGCCGTGCTGCAGGAGGTGGCAGCCGCCGGCGCGCAGCTCCTGGCGCCGCTGGCCGAGAACGAGGGGCTGCCGGCGCTGCGGCTCGAGGACCTGGCCTTCAAAGCGAGCGAGCAGGTGGGGGAGCCTTCCCCACGCCCCTGCTCCCTATGGGTGCGGGGGAAGCCAGGACCCATCACCCTCCAGCTCCGGGGGAGAGCTGTGGGGAGCTGGGGATGCGGGCAGGGGCTGCCAAGGAGCTCTGTGCTCCCGGCTCCATCCTGTGCTCCCGGAGCGCTGCAGCTCTCGGGGCTGCGGGTGCCGGGAGGGGGCTGCAGCGGGGCCCCCATCACCTCCTGCCTCTCGCAGATCTACGGCGCCCAGGGCATCAACCCCTACGAGTGCCTGCGCCAGTCCTGCAGCATCCTCATCGCCACCATGAACAAGATGGCCACGGCCATGCAGGAGGGCGAGTACGACGCCGACAGGCCCCAGACCAAGGTGGGCTTCAGCTGTGCCCCCGAGGAGCGCCGGGCCCGCGCTGCAGCCCCGCAGGTCCCCGCTGCCGTGCGGCCCCGTGCAGGCGCCGCGGTGCCGACGCTGCCCCGTGCTGCCCCTCGCAGGCCACCCCCCCCGCCGAGCTGCGGGCGGCAGCGCTCCGCGCAGAGATCACCGACGCCGAGGGGCTGGGGCTGAAGCTGGAGGACAGGGAGACGGTCATCAAGGAGCTGAAGAAGTCCCTCAAGATCAAGGTGAGCTCCTCCTGCAGCGCGGCCGGGAGCCGGTGCCTGCTGCAGGCGCGCTGTGCCCGCGGCCAGGCTCCCCTGGGCATCCTCAGCCCCCCCATTGCCCCCCTGTTGCCCCAGGGCGAGGAGCTCAGCGAGGCCAACGTGCGGCTCAGCCTGCTGGAGAAGAAGCTGGACAGCGCCTCCAAGGACGCCGATGACCGCGTGGAGAAGATCCAGACCAAGCTGGATGAGACCCAGACCCTGCTCAAGAAGAAAGAGAAGTGAGGGGGGGGCACGGGGGGGGGCCGTGGGGAGGAGCGCGCAGGAGGGCTTGGGGATGTGGGAGGAGGATCCCCAGAGGAAGCGGCACGCTCAGCACCAGTGATCGTGGTGCGGGGCAGAGCACGAGGGGCCTGGGAAAGCTCCTGCTCAGGCCCCCAGCTCTGGGGCAGCAGCACCGGAGGGACGTGGAGCTGCTGGAGAGAGGCCATGGGGATGCTGCGAGGGCTGGAGCAGCTCTGCTGTGAGCCAGGCTGAGAGAGCTGGGCTGGGGCAGCCTGGACAAGAGAAGGCTCCTGAAGGGGAGACCTGAGAGCAGCTCCAGTGCCTGAAGGGGCTGCAGGACAGCTGGAGAGGGGCTTGGGACAAGGGATGGAGGGACAGGCCAAGGGGAATGGCTTGAACCTGCCCGAGGGGAGACTGAGATGAGCTCTTAGGCAGAAGCTCTTCCCTGGGAGGGTGCTGAGGCGCTGGCACAGGGTGCCCAGAGAAGCTGTGGCTGCCCCATCCCTGGCAGTGCTCAAGTGGTCAAAGGCAGGAGCCCTTGGCAGGAGCATCCCCGGCCGTTCCCATGTCCCCGTGTGCTCTCCCCAGGGAGTTCGAGGAGACCATGGACGCTCTGCAGGCCGACATTGACCAGCTGGAGTCGGAGAAGGTGGAGCTGAAGCAGCGCTTGAACAACCAGTCCAAGAGGACCATCGAGGGCCTGCGCGGTGCCCCGGCCTCCGGCGTCGCCTCCATCGTGTCCGGCATTGCCGGAGGTGGGGACCCAGCATCCCGGAGCACTTGGATGCTTCTGCAGCTCCCGGGGCAGGGGGGGGATTTGCAGCCTGGAATGGATCCAGGAGCCGGGCACGGCTTAGAGGGGATGGAGAGGGCAGGAGGGCCTCGGGCTGCAGGGCCTGGGAGCGTGGAGATCCCGCAGCGGTGTCCAAGCAGATCCAGATCCATCCCTGCATGGGCAGGGCAGTGGTGGCACCTCCACGGAGCCAGCCCAGGGCACACGGGGCCTCCGGTGCCTCTCTGGGTCCTCATTGCTGCATCCCTGCCTGGGGATGCGCGGAAGGAGCAGCTCAGCAGGAGGTGGCCGCTGCGGGCTGCCCTGGGGCACCCATGGGTGCGTGTGTCTTGCCTGGGCTTGCCTGCAGCCCCGCACGGGCTGGGCCGTGGGGCCCGGTGCTGCCGCCGGGCTCAGGGACGCGGTGGGGAGGAGCAGAGCTCCCTTGGCCTTGACTTGGCTTTGACTCCGGTTCTCCTTGTCCCCCGCTGCTCCCGTCCCTGCTGCAGAGGAGCCGCAGCGAGGTAGGGGCTGCTCCACGGGCGCTCCCGCATGCTCCCAGCCCCGTGCATGCCGGGGGGGGAACTGCATCCCGGGGCACCCAGCGTGGGGCTGGGATGAGCAGGGGATGGCTCCGGCGCCTGCTCAGAGCATTCCCAAACAGCTCCAGGAGCCCTGGCAGTGATGGGGCCCAGAGCCTGGCGCAGCCCCAGCTCTTCCCATCGGGCACACGTGGGCAGAGGTTGTCCCTTTGCCCAGCACCACCGTAGACATCCCAGCACGACCACAGCATGCTCAGAACCACCGCAGCCATCCCAGCACCGCCGCAGCATCCTGACCCATCGTGGCATCCATGGTGGTGGTGGCTGACGCTGGTGCTGCTGTGCCCATCCGCAGGTGCCGGTGCCGGGCAGGCGCCAGGAGGTGGCTCAGGACCTGTCCAGGTGAAGGATTCGCCCCTTCTCCTCCAGCAAATCGATGCTCTGCAGCTTTCCATCAAGCACCTCAAGAACGAGAACAACCAGCTCAAGGTGAGGAGAGCCTGGTCCTGGGGCCGGCCCTGGGCTCCAACTGCAGCGGGTCCAGGAGGCTGGGGAGGAACATCCTGTGGGCTGCAGTGTGCAGGGGATGTGGTCCGTGAGGAATGCACTGTGCCTGGGCTGCAGTGTGTATGGGATGTGGTCTCTGTAGGATGCAGTGTGCATGGGATATGGTCCATGAGGGATGCAGTGTGCATGGGATGCAGTGTGTAGGGGATGTGGTCTGTGTAGGATGCAGTCCATGCGGGATGCAGTGTGCAGGGGATGTGGTCCATGAGGAATGCACTGTGTATGGGATGCAGTGTGTATGGGGTGTGGTCCATGTAGGATGCAGTCCATGTGGGATGCATTGTGCATGGGATGTGGTCCATGAGGGATGCAGTGTGCATGGGATATAGTCCATGAGGGATGCAATGTGGATGGGATGTGGTCCATGTAGGATGCAGTCCATGCGGGATGCACTGTGCAGGGGATATGGTCCATGAGGGATGCACTGTGCATGGGATGCAGTCCATGTGGGATGCAGTGTGCATGGGATGTGCTCCATATGGGATGCAGTGTGCAGGGGATGTGGTCCATGAGGGATGCAGTGTGCATGGGATGTGCTCCATATGGGATGCAGTGTGCAGGGGATGTGGTCCGCATGGGATGCAGTCCATGTGGGATGTGGTGTGCATGGGATGCAGCGTGTTTAGGATGCCAGGTTCCTCCCGTTACCGCCTGCCCTAACACCGTTCCTCCTTGGCTGGCAGGGGATGCGGATGCGGATGGAGCTGGCCAGCCTGCCGCCGCTGCAGGTGCCCAAGGTGTCTGTGGCCAGGAGCAAGCAGGGGGAGGGCCTGGCCACGCAGCAGCTCTACCGCCAGAGCAGCCAGCTCCTGGAGACCCTCTACCAGATGAGCGCCAACGCCAAGGTGGTGGACGTGAAGCAGGCCAAGTCCGGTAGGTCCGGGGCTGCGCGGTCGGAACCGGCTGAGCTTTGGGGCCCTTCCAACCCAAACCATTCCCTGATCCCGGGGTGCTCCCCACTGACCTGGCTCCCCCCTGCGGCACCGAGATCCCGGTGTCCCCATGAGGCGCCCGTCCCCGGGGCTCTGGGCACCAGGTTACACGTGGGGGGCTGAAGCTGCTCCCTGGGGCCACTGTGGCTCAGGCTCAGCCCTGCCGGGAGGCCCCAGAGCCCTCCCCTGGTGGCAGGCACCGGTGCCGGTGCGTGGCTGGACCGGAGCTCCGGGCAGGAGGCAGCTCCCTCCCCTCGGGGCTGCCCCGGCCCCGCTCACACCCGGTCCCGCAGCGCGGAGCTCGGCGGCGCGGCTGCTGGAGCACACGGCCCGGCTCTGCGCCCTCAGCAACGCCATCGACAGCCTCAAGGTGAGGAGGGGCAGGGGGGCACAGGATGGGGCTCTGTGGGGTGCATGGGGGCTCTGGGGGTCAGGTGAGGTGCTTTATGGGTGAGCGGAGGGACTCATGCGTCGGGTGAGGGTCTTCGTGGGTCAGGTGTTGGTATCCATGGGTTAGATGAGGGTCTCTGGGGGTTGGGTGAGGGTCCCTATGGGGCAGGGCAGGGTCCCTATGGGTCAGGGCAGGGTCCCTATGGGTCAGGCGAGGGTCTCTATGGGGCACGTGAGGGTCTCTGTGGGTCGGGTGAGGGTCTCTGTGGGGTGGGTCAGGGTCTCTATGGGGCAGGTGAGGGTCTCTATGGGTCAGGTGGGGGTCTCTATGGGTCGGGTGAGGCTCTCTGTGAGTCAGGTGAGGGTCTCCATGGCACAGGTGAGAGTCCCTACGGGGCAGATGAGGGTCTCTATGGGGCAGGTGAGGGTCCCTATGGGTCGGGTGAGGGTCCCTATGGGTCGGGTGAGGGTCCCTATGGGGCAGGTGAGGGTCCCTATGGTCGGGTGAGGGTCCCTATGGGGCAGGTGAGGGTCCCTATGGGGCAGGTGAGGGTCCCTATGGGTCGGGTGAGGGTCCCTATGGGGCAGGTGAGGGTCCCTATGGGTCGGGTGAGGGTCCCTATGGGGCAGGTGAAGGTCCCTATGGGTCGGGTGAGGGTCCCTATGGGGCAGGTGAGGGTCCCTATGGGTCGGGTGAGGGTCCCTATGGGTCGGGTGAGCGTCCCTATGGGGCAGGCATCCCGTGTGCAGCGCAGGAGCCGGGGGGGGGCAGCCCGGCGCTGACGCTGCCGTGCCGCAGGCTGACACCCTGCGGGAGGTGGTGCAGCAGCAGCCGGGGGCCAGCGCCCAGAGCAGCTTCGGCCTCTTCCCGACCCCGGCCTTCCTCAAGGTGAGCCCCAGCGCCCGGCCCCACACGGGGGTGGAAGGGGGGGGTCCGGGGTACAGGGGGGCAGGTGAGGCCCCCCCGGCCCCCCAGCGCTGCTCTGCCCCGCAGGCCAAGCAGGAGCAGGAGCAGGGCCTCGCCTACTACGGCAAAGTGACCTTCCCGGGCCCCGCGGGGCAGGGCCGCGCGCACCGCCTGCTGCTCACCCCGGAGCTGCTGCGGGAGCTGCGCAGCCGCCTCGGCTCCTGAACCGGGACCGGGACCGGGACCCCCGCTCCCTGCGGACACTGCGGACCCCCCCCCCCCCCGCTTTGCACCGGAGACCCCGGACACCCCCCCCCCACCCCCGGTCTCCAATAAAGCTGCCCTGGACCTGCCGCGGCCTCCGGGAACGGGGGGGGGGGGGGAACACCGGGGAAGGGACAACGGGAGCGGGGGGGACACCGGAACGGGGGCACCGGGTACCGCCACGTGCGTCCGGGGCGGCGGGGTGACCGGAGCGCGGGAGCCGCGCGGGCGGCGCCCATTGGCCGCGGGGTAGGAAGAGGCGGGAGGGAGCGGCGCTTCGCGGGTGTGATTGGTGGAGAAGGCAAAGGGAGGCGGGGTCCCCCCCGCATGTGTTTGATTGGCTGGGAGGTGGCGTCGGAGGGGGACAGCCCGCAATGATTGGCTGGTGGAGGCGCGGAGGGGCGGGCGCCGGTTGGGTGAGGCGGGGTTCCGGCGGGGGAGGTCGCCACTTCCGGCCGGCGGCAGCGGAGGCAGGATGGTGAGCGGCGGCGGGGGGGGCGCGGATCCGCCTGCATCGGGCCGGGCCCGGGCCCGGGGGGAGCGGGGCTGCGCCGGGGGGGGCGCGGAGGCCGCCGGTGACCGGGGCCGGTCCCGTGCAGGTGCTGCTGCACGTCCTGTTCGAGCACGCGGCCGGGTACGCGCTGTTCGCCGTGAGGGAGGTGGAGGAGATCAGCATCCTCCTGCCGCAGGTACCGGGATGGGCCCGCGCCGGGGAGCGGGGATGGGGCCGGGGCCGGGGCCGGGGCCTGGAGCGGGGATCCGGTACTGGGGAGCGGGGATGGGGCCTGGTTCCGTACCGGGGAACGGGGCTGGGGCCTGGTCCTGCACCGGGGAGCGGGGATCCGATACTGGGGAACGGGGCTGGGGCTTGATCCTGTACCAGGGAACGGGGATCCGGTCCCGGGGAGCGCGGCTGGGGCCTGATCCTGTACCAGGGAACGGGGATCCGGTCCCGGGGAGCGCGGCTGGGGCCTGGTCCTGTACTGGGGAACGGGGATCCGGTACCGGGGAGCGCGGCTGGGGCCTGGTCCTGCACCGGGGAGCGGGGATCCGATACCGGGGAACGGGGCTGGGGCTTGATCCTGTACCAGGGAACGGGGATCCGGTCCCGGGCAGCGCGGCTGAAGCTTGATCCAGTACCGGGGAGCGGGGATGAGCCGGTCCCGGGGGACTCAGCCCGAGGGGGGCCGGGGTTGCGGGGATGGAATCCCGGGGGTCGCGCCCCGCTGCCCGGGGGTGCCGCTGTGCCCGCGGGGCTCTGACCGGGCCCTGGCCGGGCCGCGCAGGTGGAGGAGAGCACGCAGAGCGTGGGCAAGTTCCACAACGTGGTCAAGCTCGTCGCCTTCTCCCCGTTCAAGTCCGCGCAGAGCGCGCTGGAGAACATGAACGCGGTGTCCGAGGGTGAGCACCGGGGAGGGGGGCCCCTCCCGCCCCACACCGGGGGGAGCCGGGCCCCGCTCATCCCCCCCCCCGTCCCCCCCCAGGGCTGCTCCACGAGGACCTGCGCCTGCTGCTCGAGACCTCGATGCCGGCCAAGAAGAAGAAGGCGCTGCTGGGGGTGGCGGACGCCAAGCTCGGGGCCGCCATCCTGGAGGAGCTGGGCTACCAGTGCCAGACCGGCGGCGTGGTGGCCGAGCTGCTGCGCGGTGCGTGGGGCCGGGGGGTAACGACCGGGGGCCGGGGGAGGCGATGGGGCCGTCAGTTACCCCCCTGTCCCCATCCCCACAGGGATCCGGCTGCACTTCCACGCGCTGGTGAAGGGGCTCACGGCCCAGTCGGCTTCCAAGGCACAGCTGGGGCTGGGGCACAGCTACTCCCGCGCCAAGGTGAAGTTCAACGTGAACCGCGTGGACAACATGATCATCCAGTCCATCAGCCTGCTGGACCAGCTCGACAAGGACATCAACACCTTCTCCATGCGCGTGCGGTGAGCCCGGCCCCTGGCGTGGGTGCTGGTGGGTGCTGGGGGTGCCTCTCCCCATGCTTACCACAGGTCGCTGCCCCTCCGGCTGCCTGTACAGGACGGGGAGGGAGAGCATTGACCCTGAGGCAGCCGGTTGTGGCTGCAGTGCTGCAGCTGGAGCATGCCTCAGGGGGACATGGGGGGCACAGGGCTGGGTGCTGCCACTGACACTGTTCCCATCACTGTCCTGTCCCTGTATCCGTAACTGTCCCCATCACTGTCCTGTCCCTGCATCCATAACTGTCCCCATTGCTGTCCTGTATCTATAACCATCCCCATCCTGTCCCTGTATCCATAACTGTCCCCATCACTGTCCTGTCTCTGTATCCATAACTGTCCCCATCCTGTCCCTGTATCCATAACTGTCCCCATTGCTGTCCTGTATCCATAACTGTCCCCATCACCGTCCTGTCCCTGCATCTGTAACTGTCCCCGTAACCATCCTGTCCCTGTATCCATAACTGTCCCCATCACCGTCCTGTCTCTGTATCCATAACTGTCCCCATCCCCATCCTGTCCCTGTATCCATAACTGTCCCCATCCTGTCCCTGTATCCGTAACTGTCCCCATGCTGTCCCTGTATCCATAACTGTCCCCATTGCTGTCCTGTATCCATAACCATCCCTGTCCTATGCCTGTATCCATAACCGTCACCATCCTGTCCCTGTACCCATAACTGCCCCCATCCCCATCCTGTCCCTGTATCCATAACCATCCCTGTCCTGTCCCTGTATCCATAACCGTCCCCATCCTGTCCCTGTACCCATAGCCGCCCCCATCCCCATCCTGTGTCCGTAACCGTCCCTGTCACCGTCCCCGCAGTGAGTGGTACGGGTACCACTTCCCGGAGCTCATCAAGATCGTTCCCGAGAACTCCCTGTACTGCCGGGTGGCCAAGTTCATCGGGAACCGGCGGGAGCTGAGCGAGGAGAGCCTGGAGGGGCTGGAGGAGATCGTCATGGACGGCGCCAAGGCCCAGGCCATCCTGGACGCCTCGCGCTCCTCCATGGGTGAGCACGGGGGTGATGGCTCCGCTTCGCTGGGAGAGCTCCGGTGCCCCCGTTGGCCCCGCTGACCCCCCCCTCCCCGTGTCCCCCCCGCAGGGATGGACATCTCCCCCCTGGACCTCATCAACATCGAGAGCTTCTCCCGCCGCGTCGTCTCGCTGTCCGAGTACCGCCGGGGGCTGCAGGAGTACCTGCGCTCCAAGATGAGCCAGGTGGCTCCCAGCCTCTCGGCGCTCATCGGGGAGGTGGTGAGTGTTACCCCCCCCCACGCGTGCCCCCTGGGACCGGGGCCTCGGACGTGATGTCTGAGTGCATCTGTCAATCCCCTGAGCTGAGCTGCTGACACCTGAGCCGCTGATCCGGGCCCGGGGCTGTGGCCGTCGCGCTCCGGGCTCCGAGGCGCCGCAGCCCCAGTCCCGTCCTCGCTCTCCCCGCCGCAGGTGGGCGCCCGCCTCATCTCGCACGCCGGCAGCCTCACGAACCTGGCCAAGTACCCGGCCTCCACCGTGCAGATCCTGGGCGCCGAGAAGGCGCTGTTCAGGTACCGCTGCGGGCGGTCGCGGTGATGGCGCCGCCGGGCACCGGCTGTGACGGGGCCCGCTCCCGGCTGAGCAACCGGTGCCGGTGTCTGAGCGACCCCCGGAGGCAGTGGGCGGTGATGGGGGCCCCGTGTGTGTGTGTGTGTGCGCGTCCCGGTGGCGGTGGGGCTGCCCCCGACGGCTGCGCCGGTTGCAGGGCACTGAAGACTCGCGGGAACACCCCCAAGTACGGGCTCATTTTCCACTCGACGTTCATCGGGCGCGCGGCCGCCAAGAACAAGGGCCGCATCTCGCGGTACCTGGCCAACAAGTGCACGCTGGCCTCGCGCATCGACTGCTTCTCAGGTGGGGGCCGCCGCCGCCTCCGCCGTGATGGCAGCGTTTTTCGTCAGCAGCATCCCACCGCCGTGGCTGGTGACAGCTCTGGGGCTGAGCGGAGCGCGGCGCGCGCTGAGCCCCCCTCTCCGCCTCCCCACAGAGGTCCCCACCAGCGTGTTCGGGGACAAGCTCCGGGAGCAGGTCGAGGAGCGCTTGGCCTTCTACGAGACCGGGGAGCCCCCCCGCAAGAACCTGGACGTGATGAAGGAGGCCGTGGTGGAGGTGAGCGGGGGGGAGGCTGCGGTGGGGCCCCCGCTGCTGGGCGTGATGTGAAGCCTTGGCCTGACCGCCCGTGGAGGGAAAAGACTGATTTAATGAGGCTGATCCGGCAGTGGGGCCGGGCTCGGCGCTGGGGGCTCGGCGCTGGGCTGGGGCTGACCCCTCTCCTCTGGCCCCCCCAGGCAGGCGAGGTGGTGGCCGAGGTGAAGAGGAAGCAGGAGAAGAGGGAGAAGAAGAAGAAGAAGCGGGAGAAGCGGCGCTTGGAGGCGCTGGCGGCGGCGGCACGGGAGGAGCTGGAGGAGAACTCGGTGCTGGAGCCGGAGGTGCGGGCAGGGGGCGGGATGGGCACGGGGATGGACACGGACACAGCTCCGGCTCCTCCTGACCCCATGGCTCCTGCAGGAGAACTCCACGGAGCCCAAGAAGAAGAGGAAGAAGAAGCAGGAGGAGGCAGAATCAGAGCCGGAGCAGAACGGGCTGGAGGAGGAGGAGGAGGCCGAGGCTGTGCCCAAGAAGAAGAGGAAAGTGACGGCCGAGGCTGAGCCTGAGGAGGAGGAGAAGAGGAAGAGGAAGAAGAAGAAGAAGGGGGCGCGGGACGAGGAGGACTGAGGCCGCTGGGCCCAGGGCTTGGTTGGACTCTTGGACTGGCTGGAGGTCGGTGTGGGGCAGCCGGGGCTGCCGTTACCGTGTCCTGGCCCGTGTGCTCTGGGGCCGCACGTGGCATGGACCCCTCCGGGCCCTGTTGTGGGGCGGGCCCGGGCTGTGTGTGGGGCCCGGCCCTGTCCCCACTGCGGGCCGGGGGCAGGAGCTCCTCAGTAAAGCGCGGCCGTGGTTGGTGATGCTCTGTGGTGGTGTCGTGGGGCTGGGCGGGGGGTGACGGTGCTGGCCCCACAGAGCCCCAGCGTCCCCGGGCAAGGACGGGGCCACCCCTGGTGCTGCAGAGCCCACGTTTATTGGAGGGAAGCCATAAATAGGAGAGGACGTGGGCACGGGAGGGGGAGGATGAGGAGGGGGGGCAGCCCCTACGCTTCCAGGGCCCCGATCACGGCTTGGGTGAAATCGTGGGACGTGGCGTAGCCCCCCATGTCCGCTGTGCGCACCTGCAAGGAGAGGGCAGCGTTAGGGGGCTGCGGGCAGGGAGCTGAAGGGGCACCCGGCCCCATGGCAGCTGCTTCGGGGGCTCCAGCTGGGGCTGAGTGCTGGCACTGGGGCCTCAGCCCCATGGGCTGCCCCAGCCCCTGCTCCAGAGGGGGCTGTTGTGGATGGGGGGGCTCTTCCCTGCTCTCACAGCCCCAGCAGGCTCAAGGGCCCGGTGAGGGGCTGGCAGCTGTGCTGAACCCCCTGTGCCTGCTGCCAGCCCCACTTCTGCCCCCCAACCATGCCTGGCCTCGGGGAGCAGCAGCCACAGGCAGAGCTGGGGGAAGCTTTGGACCCTTTATTTGCAGACACGAGCGCACAGCGCAGCAGCAAGCGCACGGCCCGGATGCTCTTGCACACACAAACACGTTACACACATGTATACACATGTACATACATGCACACACACGTGCAGGGCTGAGCCACCATGGTCCCGTTGCCCCATGTGGGGCAAGCTCCGGCTCCTGCCCCTTGGCTCCAGTGGAATCTCTGCAGCTCATGGGGCTGCTCCCAGGCAAACCCCAGAACGGGCTGGGGGGGACAGGGCAGCCCCTTCCCCCCCGGCTCCCATGGGAATGTGCTGGAAGGGGGGGACCTCGCTCTGTGCCCCCTGGTCCCAGTTCGTGCTGGAGCTGGTGCTGGGGGAGGCACCCACAGCAACCGCGGTCCTTGGGTGGTCCCTGCGGCCTTGGGGGGGTCCCTGGGGTGCTGCCCCTCACCCCAGCAGCCCCACAGTACAAGGAAGCTGCCACCACCGCCCCCCTCCTGCTGGGGGGGGCACGGGAGCTGTGGGCAGGAGGAGCTGTGCGGGATGTGCTGTGGGGCGCAGGACATGGACAGGGATGTGCTGTGCGCTGTGGGGTGCTGCTGTGGGTCCCGGGGGGGGGGGCAATGGGGGGCAGTGGGGCGCTCCTATGCACCATAGTGGGGGTGCAGGCTGTCAATCACAGACTTGACGAAGTCGGAAGTTGTGGAGTAACCGCCCAGGTCCCGCGTCCGAACCTGGAATCCAACAGGAAGGGGAGAGACGGGGAATGGGACGGTGAATGGGGGCAGTGGGATGGTGAATGGGGCAGTGGGACGGTGAATGGGGCAGTGGGATGGTGAATGAGGCAGTGGGACAGTGAATAGGGGCAGTGGGACGGTGAATGGGGGCAGTGGGACGGTGAATGGGGCAGTGGGACGGTGAATGGGGGGAGTGGGACGGTGAATAGGGGGAGTGGGATGGTGAATGGGGGGAATGGGGGGGGAGAGGTGAGGAGCAGCTGCCCCTGAGCACCCGGCCCTGCCTGCACCAGAGCCAAGCCACAGGGACATGGACAGGGGGACGTGGGTATGGACACAGGGATATGGACACGGGCACAAGGACATGGACACAAGGATATGGACACAGTGACATGGACACGGACACAGACACATGGATATGGACACGGTGACACGGACATGGACACAGGCACATTGATATGGACACAAGGACAGGGTGACATGGACACGGACATGGACACAGGCACACGGATATGGACACGGTGAAATGGACACAGGCACATGGATATGGACACGGTGACATGGACACAGACATGGACACAGGCACACGGATATGGACACAAGGACATGGTGACATGGACACGGTGACATGGACACAGACACAGGCACACGGATATGCACACAAGGACACGGTGACATGGACACGGACACAGGCACATGGATATGGACACAAGGACACGGTGACATGGACACGGACACGGGCACACGGATATGGACACAAGGACACGGTGACATGGACACGGGCACACGGATATGCACACAAGGACACGGACACAAGGACACGGTGACATGGACAAGGACACGGGCACACGGATATGCACACAAGGACACGGTGACATGGACACGGTGACATGGACACGGGCACACGGATATGGACACAAGGACACAGTGACATGGACACGGACACGGGCACACGGATATGCACACAAGGACACGGTGACATGGACACGGTGACAAGGACACGGACATGGGCACACGGATATGGACACAAGGACACGGTGACATGGACACGGTGACAAGGACACGGACATGGGCACACGGGTATGGACACAAGGACACGGTGACATGGACACGGACACGGGCACACGGATATGGACACAAGGACACGGTGACATGGACACGGACACGGGCACACGGATATGGACACAAGGACACGGTGACATGGACACGGACACGGGCACACAGATGGCTGAGCTGGAGCGATTCCAGCCTCGCTCCGTGGCCGCTCGCCCACCGAGCCCAGCACTCACTTTGCCGCCTTTGATCACCTTCTTCACCGCGTCCGAGATGAGGTTGGAGTGGAATTCCAGGCTGGGGAGAGGGGGAGAACCGGGGTGAGCCCCGCTGCTGCCCCGCTGCTGCCCCACTGCTGCCCCGCTGCTGCCCCGCTGCTGCCCCACTGCTGCCCCGCTGCTGCCCCGCTGCTGCCCCACTGCTCCCCCCGCCGCCCCGTACGCACTTGAGGTGCCGCAGCATGTTGGTGGCCGACAGCAGCATCGCCGTGGGGTTGGCGATGTTCCTGCCCACGGCCTGGGCGAACGGGTGCCGGGCGCCCTGCGGATGGAGGCCACGGTGAGGGACCCCTCCTGACCCCCCCCCCATCCTCGCCCCCCGGTGCCGCGGCCTCACCATCTCGAACACGGCGTACTCGGCGCTGTAGCTCTCGCCGGGCACGACGCCGGCGCCGCCCACCAGCCCCGCAGCCAGGTTGTCCACGATGTTGCCGTAGAGGTTGGGCATGACCAGGACATCGAACTGGTACGGGTTCTGCACCAGCTGCGGGGGAACGGCGCCATGGGGGAGCCCTCGGGGCGCGATGGGCACGGGCCCTGCCCCAGGATCCTGCTCCCATCCCTGCGGCGCCGGAGCAGCAGAACCCAAACCCCCTCCCAGGCCACGGCCAAGTGAGAACTGCAGCACAGGGAGCCGAGTGCAGCAGCTCCGGAGCCGGGTGTGCGACTGCAGTGGACGCAGAGCGGCCCCTGGCCCTGCCCCTCACCTGCATGCAGCAGTTGTCGATGATGATGGTGTCGAACTTGATCTTGGGGTAGAGCTCGGCCACCTCCTTGCAGCACTGCAGGAAGAGGCCATCGCCCAGCTTCCTGCCGGGGGACAGCGGAGGGGCTGCAGCACCCGCATCCCACCGCAGTGGGGCAGCAGCCCCGGGGATGGGTTTTCCACGCTGGAACGGGGGCCAGGGGTAAGGCCGCGGGAGCCAAGGGAGCACTCACATGATGTTGGCCTTGTGCACGGCCGTCACCTTGGAGCGCCCTTTCTTGGTGGCGTAGTCGAAGGCGAACTTGGCGATGCGCTGGGACTTGGCGCGGGTGATGATCTTCAGGCACTCGATGACGCCCCGCACGCTCTGCAGGGGAGGGCACGGGGAGCACGGAGCCTCCTCCGCGGGCCCCTCTCCTGTGCCCCCCCCTCCCTGCACTCAGCCCCGCTGGGTCACGGTATCCACACCCCCAAGTGCTCCCCTAACCCCTCGGTGCCCTGGTGCAGCGCTGCCACCCTGCCCTGCCCTGCCCCACAGCTCTGGTGGGGGTCCCAGCAGAGAGGGAAGTCACCCAGAGCCATGGAACGGGTTGGGGTGAAGGGACCTTAAAGCTCCTCCAGCTCCAACCCCTGCCATGGGCAGGGACCCCTTCCACTGGAGCAGCTTGCTCCAAGCCCCTGTGTCCAACCTGGCCTTGAGCACTGCCAGGGATGGGGCAGCCACAGCTGCTCTGGTGCCACCCCCGTCACAGGCAGGGCCCTGTGCCCCCCCGCTGGGGCTCCTGTACCTCGTGCTCCAGGGCGCTGTACTCGCCCTCCGTCTGCTCCCGGATGATGACCAGGTCCAGGTTGTTGTGGCGCGTCTGGTACCCGGGCAGGCTCTTCACGTGCACGACGTTGGCAAAGAGGTCCAGCTTGCGCCTGGGGGGGGCACAGCTCCCCTGGGTAACCCCTTCCAGCGTCCCAGCACCCTCAGGGGGAAGAACTTCCTCATATCCCATTCAACCCCTCCCTCGGACAGTTGCAAGCCCAAACTCCTCATCCCATCCCTAGAGCCCTTGCCCAAAGCCCCTCTCCTGGTTAATTTAGGCAGTAGAAGGCTGGATTGATCCATCCATCATCCATCCATCCCTCCATCCATCCATCCATCATCCATCCATCATCCATCCATCCATCCATCATCCATCCACCCATCCATCCATCATCCATCCATCATCCATCATCCATCCATCCATCCACCCATCCATCCATCATCCATCCATCATCCACCCATCATCCATCCATCCATCCATCCATCCATCATCCATCCATCCATCATCCATCCATCATCCATCCATCATCCATCCATCCATCATCCATCATCCATCCATCCATCATCCATCCATCCATCCATCCATCCATCATCCATCCATCATCCATCCATCCATCCATCCATCCATCATCCATCCATCATCCATCCATCCATCCATCCATCCATCCATCATCCATCCATCATCCATCCATCCATCCATCAATCATCCATCCATCCATCCATCATCCATCCATCCATCCATCCATCCATCCATCCATCCATCCATCATCCATCCATCATCCATCCATCCATCCATCCATCCATCCATCCATCATCCATCCATCCATCCATCCATCCATCATCCATCCATCCATCCATCATCCATCATCCATCCATCATCCATCATCCATCCATCCATCCATCATCCATCCATCCATCCATCCCTCCATCCATCCATCCATCCATCCATCCATCATCCTTCTACCCTGCAGGACCACGCTGAGCTGAGGCAGCTCCTGCCCAGACAATCCCTTGGGACCTTCCCTTCCCAGTAACACACGGACTCCCCAGTGGCCCAGCCCCAGGACCCAGCAGGATGGCTCTGCAGCCCCGGAGCTCACCTGAGCCTCATGTCGTAGGACGCCAGCTCCCCCTTGTACTCCATGGGGGTGTGGATCTTCCCTGCGGGACGACAGGAGTGAGAGCCCGGAGCACGGAGCGCACCAGAGCCAGCACGCTTCCCTCCTGCGGCCTGACCATGGCAATTCCCACCCTCCGGGAGCACCCAGCGGTCTTTGCCGTGCTGGGTGCAGGCAGGGTGCTGGGTGCAGGCAGGGTGCTGGGTGCAGGCAGGGTGCTGGGTGCTGGCAGGGTGCTGGGTGCTGGCAGGGTGCTGGGTGCAGGCAGGGTGCTGGGTGCTGGCAGGGTGCTGGGTGCTGGCAGGGTGCAGGCAGGGTGCTGGGTGCTGGCAGGGTGCTGGGTGCAGGCAGGGCGCTGGGTGCAGGCAGGGTGCTGGGTACAGGCAGGGTGCAGGCAGGGTGCCGGGTGCAGGCAGGGCACAGGCAGCCCCCCCGCCTGTCCTCACCTATGAGCGCCACTTTGCTCTCCTTCATGGAGTCGATGACCTCGTCCAGCTTCTCCTCCGAGGCCATGTTCTGCACCTCGCTCAGGTGGTGCTCATCGAACACCACCGGGACGCTGGCGGCCTGGGAGCAGACACGGGGACAGGATCAGTGCCCAGGACACGGCAGGGACCTGCAGCCACCTCCCGCAGGGACCCCGCTGCTGGGGCGAGAGGGGAGGGGATGGGGAGCCCTGAGCTGGCCTGGGAGGAGAGGGACGTGGGGCAGGAGGTGCAGGACCGGGAGCGCAGGGACACTGAGCACTGCTGCTTCGTCACCTCCGACCCACACTCCTGCTCCTCACTGGAACTGGAGCCCTGGGGGCCCCCACTGGAGCTGGCACAGGCTGGAGCCAGGCCAGAGGAGGCCATGGAGATGCTGCGAGGGCTGGAGCAGCTCTGCTCTGGAGCCAGGCTGAGAGAGCTGGGCTGGGGCAGCCTGGACAAGAGAAGGCTCCTGAAGGGGAGACCTGAGAGCAGCTCCAGTGCCTGAAGGGGCTGCAGGAAAGCTGGAGAGGGGCTGGGGACAAGGGATGTAGGGACAGGCCAAGGGGAATGGCTTTAACCTGCCCGAGGGGAGATGAGCCGAGGGCAGGGCTTTACCTTGAACACCTCCTTGACCGCGTGCATGAGCTCGGGGCCCACGCCATCACCCGGCAGCATGGTCACCTGGAACGTGCCCTCGGCCTTGGCTTGTTCTGACTGCACGGAGAGGAAAACAGGCTCGGACCCACTGCTGCCCCAGGGCAGGGCCTGGCCCGTGGGCAGCGATGGGGGGGGCACACAGAGCATGAGGAGCAGCTGCCCCACGGCACAGCTCCTGCTGACACAGCCCCACTGCAGCGCCAGCAGTGACCTCCACCGTGCAGCCCCTCCCAACACCCCCACCATGGAGACCTTTCCCTGCAGTGTTCCCAGCTCAGCCCCTTCCCTCTGTGCCCTCGAGTGTCCCCCATTGCCTGCCCCTCTCACTGGGACCTCCTGAGCCCCCCCGTGTGAGCCTCCTGTTCCATCACCCCACAGCTCCTGCTGACCGTGCTTTGTCTCAGTCCTGAGCCCAACACCAGGCTCGGAGCCCCTTTCTACCTCCAAACCGGGGCTGCAGCTGCCTCCTGTTTGACACGGCCTCTTTTAGCCTCCCTTAGCCTGTAATTCCCAGCAAACAGCTGGGCACGGGATCCCCAGACCTGGCCTCTGGGGTTACGGAGACAAGCCTGCCCCCCTACAGCTTAACCTGCCGAGGGAAGGTGTGAACCAGCAGCACCCAGTGACAGCGAGAGCAAGCAAAGGGTGACCGTGGGGGGCAGAGCAGGAGCAGAGCCTGCCCTGGTCACTTCTGGGGCCTCCGAGTGGAGCTCGGGAGCAGAAGCCGGGCTGCCAGCAGCACTGACAGCGGCAGGGGCAGGGGAGCATCTGCAGGGGGAGCCCTGGCCCAGGCCCGGCCTCAAGGGCAAAAGAACAGCCCCGGGCTGAGCCCTTCCCCTCGGCCTCTCCGATGTCACCGGAACCGCTCCCTGCCAGGAGCCTGTCAGCGGCTGTGACAGGCAGGACCCAGCACCCAGCACCCTGCTGCTTCGGCCCCATAGCGAACAACGCGGCCCCCCCCCCCCAGCCGTGTTCCTGCCCCCAGCGTCCGCCCAGTGCACGCGCTGCACCGCTCGCCCTTGCCTTACCTTGTCCCTAAAAGTACCCAGAAATTCCCTGCGTTATTCCCGGCATTATTCCGCTTATTCCCTACGCTATTCCCTGGGCTATTCCTTGGTTATTCCCTGCGTTATTCCCGGTTTACTCCCTGCATTATTCCCTATATTATTCCCGGCATTATTCCCTACATTTTTCCCTGTTTATTCCCTGCATTATTCACTGCGTTATTCCGTTTACTCCCTGCATTATTCCATTTATTCCCGATGTTATTCCCTGCTTTACTCCCAACGTTATTCCGTTTATTCCCTGCGTTATTCCCTGCGTTATTCCCTACGTTTTTCCCTGTTTATTCCCTGCATTATTCCCTGTGCTATTCCCTTTTTATTCCCTCTTTACCCCCTCTTCATTCCCTCTTCCCCCCGGGTCATTCCCGGTTCCCCTCAGGGTCATTCCCGGTTCCCCCCAGGGTCATTCCCGGTTCCCCCCAGGGTCATTCCCGGTTCCCCCCAGGGTCATTCCCGGTTCCCCCCGGGTCATTCCCGGTTCCCCCCAGGGTCATTCCCTGTTCCCCCCCGGGTCATTCCCGGTTCCCCCCAGGGTCATTCCCGGTTCCCCCCAGGGTCATTCCCGGTTCCCCCCCAGGGTCACTCCCGGTTCCCCCCGGGTCATTCCCGGTTCCCCCCCAGGGTCATTCCCTGTTCCCCCCAGGGTCATTCCCGGTTCCCCCCGGGTCATTCCCGGTTCCCCCCAGGGTCACTCCCGGTTCCCCCCGGGTCATTCCCGGTTCCCCCCCGGGTCATTCCCGGTTCCCCCCGGGTCATTCCCGGTCCCCCCCGGGTCATTCCCGGTTCCCCCCCGGGTCACTCCCGGTTCCCCCCAGGGTCATTCCCGGTTCCCCCCGGGTCATTCCCGGTCCCCCCCGGGTCATTCCCGGTTCCCCCCCGGGTCACTCCCGGTTCCCCCCAGGGTCATTCCCGGTTCCCCCCGGGTCATTCCCTGTTCCCCCCCGGGTCATTCCCGGTTCCGGCCCGCAGGAGGCAGCTCCAGCCCCCGGACGAGGCCTTTCCCCGCAGCCGCGCCCGGCCCCCCCCGTGCCCCGCTCTCACCTTGGCCTGCGGGATCTGCTGCAGCGCGGGGGGCACGCGGAGCCCCCTCCACGCCCCGAGGCTCTGGGCCCGCAGGAGCCCCTGGGGGGAAGCGGGGGGGGGGGGGTGAGGCACCGACACCTCCGGGCCCCCGAAGCCCCCCCCGGCCACCCCCGGCCCCGGCCCTCACCGCTGCCGCCGCCCGCCCCGCTCCCAGCGCCGCCATTTCTGCGTCCCACAATGCACCGCGGCACCGGCGCGGCCGGACCACAGCGGGGCGGGAGGGAGGCGCCCCCTGGCGGACGGGCGGGCGGAGCGAGCCCAGAAAGAGGCGCCGCGGGGTCCTAGAGACCGCCCCCGTCATCCCTGCAGGGTCCCTTGGGGACATCCCAGCTTCATGGGGACATCCCAGCTTCATTGGGGACATCCCAGCTTCATGGGGACATCCCAGCTTCATGGGGGACATCCCAGCTTCATTGGGAACATCCCAGCTTCACGGGGGACATCCCAGCTTCACTGGGGACATCCCAGCTTCATGGGGACATCCCAGCTTCATGGGGACATCCCGGCTTCATTGGGAACATCCCAGCTTCACTGGGAACATCCCAGCTTCATGGGGGACATCCCAGCTTCATTGGGAACATCCCAGCTTCATGGGGGACATCCCAGCTTCACTGGGGACATCCCAGCTTCATTGGGAACATCCCAGCTTCATGGGGGACATCCCAGCTTCATTGGGAACATCCCAGCTTCATGGGGGACATCCCAGCTTCATGGGGGACATCCCAGCTTCACTGGGGACATCCCAGCTTCATGGGGGACATCCCAGCTTCATGGGGACATCCCAGCTTCACTGGGGACATCCCACCTCCATTGGGGACATCCCAGCTTCACTGGGGACATCCCAGCTTCACTGGGGACATCCCACCTCCATTGGGAACATCCCAGCTTCACTGGGGACATCCCAGCTTCATGGGGACATCCCAGCTTCATGGGGACATCCCAGCTTCATTGGGAACATCCCAGCTTCACTGGGGACATCCCAGCTTCATTGGGAACATCCCAGCTTCATGGGGACATCCCAGCTTCATTGGGAACATCCCAGCTTCACTGGGGACATCCCAGCTTCACTGGGGACATCCCAGCTTCATGGGGACATCCCAGCTTCACTGGGGACATCCCAGCTTCATTGGGAACATCCCACCTCCATTGGGAACATCCCAGCTTCACTGGGGACATCCCAGCTTCATGGGGACATCCCACCTCCATTGGGGACATCCCAGCTTCACGGGGGACATCCCAGCTTCACTGGGGACATCCCAGCTTCATGGGGACATCCCAGCTTCATTGGGAACATCCCAGCTTCACTGGGGACATCCCAGCTTCATTGGGGACATCCCAGCTTCACTGGGGACATCCCAGCTTCATGGGGACATCCCAGCTTCATGGGGACATCCCACCTTCACTGGGGACATCCCAGCTTCATGGGGACATCCCACCTCCATTGGGGACATCCCAGCTTCACTGGGGACATCCCAGCTTCATTGGGGACATCCCAGCTTCATGGGGACATCCCAGCTTCATGGGGACATCCCACCTTCACTGGGGACATCCCAGCTTCATGGGGACATCCCACCTCCATTGGGGACATCCCACCTCCATTGGGACCATCCCACCTTCCAGACAGCCCAGGGCCTGCTCCAGGACCCTGGCTGCCCTCCCCAGACCCCAGTGCCCCCCATAAATGCCCTACAGACCTCCCCAACCCTGTGCCACATCAATGGGGGTGTCCTAATCCCCCCCCCCAACTCTGCAGCGCCTCACTGGGGGTGCCCATGGGGTACCCCTCATTCCTCAGCAGGAGCCAGGCCGCGAGCTCTCCTCTTTATTGTACAAGAAGGGAGGGGGTCACACAGCGAGAAGGGGGGGACCCCCCCATGGTCCCGCAGTGACCATGGCCGGGAGGCTGCCAGGGGGACCCCAGTGCTGCTGCAGGGCATGGACCCCTCATCCCGGGGCTCCCCGCAGGCAGGGGAAGGATGGGAGCAGCCTGGAGTGGCCCCAGGGGTAGGAGAGGGGCTGGACCCCCCCCTGCCCCCCAAGTGGGGGTCACTTCTTGAGGAGCTGGGCCCGGGCCCGGTTCAGTTTCTCGGCCACGGCAGCGTCGGTGCTGGCCGAGCACTTGGACAGGACGAAGTTCATCTCGCTCTCGTTCTTGTGCTCGATGGCAGCGTCGGCCGCCTGCTCCAGGTCCCTGTGGGGACACGGGGGCTGTGGGGAGAGTGGGGGGGGCAGCCCCACAGCCTGGAGGCCCCAGCCCCACACCCCCCATGTGCTCCGCGGGGGTCTCATCCACCCCTTGCTTCCCCTCACCATCCCCATCCCCACTGCTCCAGCGGGTTCCAACCCTGCCCCACACCCCCCAAGCACCCCGTGTCCCCCCCACACGCACCCCACGAGGACGAAGGCCCTGACGCGCTGCTCGGGGGGCACGCGGGGCGCGTACTTCTTGGCCTCGTAGCGGTTGTGGTGCTTGACCGCGATCTCCACGAAGGGCTGGGGAGGAGAGGACCGGGGATGGGGGGGATGGAGATGGCACAGCCCCCCCCCAGCCCCACAGCACAGCCGCCATGGGGCAGGGCAGCAGGAGGAGCCCTCACCAGGTACCCGATGGGCGACTTCTTGCTCTTGGAGAACTTCTCCATCTCCTCCCAGTCGCCGCGGGTGGCCAAGGCGCTGATCTTCAGCCACCAGTACCTGGGGGACAGGGGTGAAACCCAGCCCCGCCGCTCGGCTCCAGCCCTGGGGCTGCCCCCCGGGACCCCCACCTCTTGTCGGGGATCTTGAACTCGCGGTAGAGCTGCTCGGCGCGCTTGTGCTGCCCGTCCAGGATGAGGTTGGAGACGGTGTCGTGCAGCGAGAGGTCCACGTAGGGCTTGTCCAGCTCCTCCTGCAGGTGCCGCTGGAGCCGCAGCAGCTTCACCTGCTCCTCGGTGGCCTGGGCACGGAGCAGGGCTCGGAGGGACCCCCAACACTGCCCATGGGGCAGGGGCCCGTGGCCACCCCCCCCCAGCACCCCTCACCTTGGCTGCAAACTCGTTCTTGGCTTTGTAGAACTCATCCAGGGCGCTCTGCAGGGCCCCCACGCGCCCCTCGATGCGCTGGGGACGGAGCACAGCGGCCCCTTCACCCACTGCAGCACCCAGTGCAGCACCCAGTGCAGCACCCAGTGCAGCGCCCGCTGCAGCACCCGCTGCAGGACCCACTGTGGCACCCACTGCGGCACCCACTGCAGCACGCGCTGCAGCACCCACTGCAGCATCCACTGCAGGACCCACTGCAGCGCCCACTGCAGGATGCACTGCAGCATCCACTGCAGGACCCACTGCAGCACCCGCTGCAGGACCCGCTGCAGCATCCACTGCAGCACCCACGGAGCCCCCCAGAGCTGGGTGCTGCCTAAGCAGGGGTGGGCTCCTGAGCTCTGCCAGCAGAGCCCCAGCGGGACAACGGGCACAGGGCACACGCTGGGGAGCTCCTTGCACACCCAGCACCCCCCGTTGTGAGCACCCAGCACCCACAAGGCATGAACCCCCCCTCCCCAGCCCCTTCCTCCCCTCTCCTCCTGCCCCCCCGCTGGGACCTTCTCTCCGTAGCTGGCGTGGACGTGGAAGTTGCCCAGCTCCTGGTGGCTGTCGTCCTGGTTGTAGAGGTCCTTGAGCGTGTCCCGCTCCTGGTGCTTGCAGAACTGGGGGCAATGGGGGGGTCAGGGGGGGCAGCGGATGGGGGGGCCACAGGGTGGGAGCCGCTCACCTGGCGGTACAGGCTCAGCGCCACGGGCTGGTTCTGCAGCGTCATGAAGAAGGTGCCGCGGTTCAGCTCGTTCTTGAGGTGCAGCACCACGGTGTAGACTGGGGCAAGGAGGGGGGACACACATGGGTCTGTGCCCCAGCCCCTCCGGCCACCCCAGCCCACAGGGAGCAAAGCCACAAAGGGGGTCCCCCAACCCCAACCCCCTCCCCATGGCCCCCAAATCCATCACAGCCCCCAAATCACCCCCCAGCCCCCAAAACTGCCACCTATCAAATCCCCCCCACAGACCCCCAAAACCCCTTGGCCCCCAAACCCCTCTCCATCCCCTACATCCCCCTCTGAGCCCCCAAACCCATCACCAGATCCCACCCCCCCCCCAGCCACCACATCCAACCCTGGTCCCCAAACCCCATCTCTATCCCCCCACAGCCCCCAAACCCATCACCAGCTCCCACCCCCCTCCAGCCCCCAAATCCAACCCTGGCCCCCAAACCCCACCTCCATTCCCCTCCAGCCCCCAAACCCATCACTGGCTCCCAGTCCCCCCCCCCCCAGCCCCCACATCCAACCCGGGCCCCCAAACCCCATCTCTATCCCCCCACAGACCCTAAACCCATCACCAGCTCCCAGCCCCCAAATCCACCCTCACAGCCACCAAATCCCCCCCAGTGCCCCCACCCAGGTCCGTGTCCCCGCTCTCGATGGCCTTGCTCAGCGCCAGTTTGCTCCTCTTCATCTTGAGCAGCAGTGGGACCTGCTCCCCGGAGCGGGGCTCGTACTCCAGCAGCTGCCAGGCACAGGAAGGGGGGGTCAGCGCCCAGCCACGGCCCCGGTGCCCCCCCAGTGCCCCCCCCGTCCCCACACCTTGATGGCCAGCTCCGTGCGGCCGCAGTCGTAGGCGCGGGCGGCGATCTCGGAGTAGGAGATGCCGGGGGTGTCCCCCAGCTTGTGGTTGATGGCCTGCGCCACCTCCTCGTCCGACTTGTCCTTCTGCTGCACCTGCGGGGAGCAGGATGGGCCCCGGCACCCCCCGGCGCCGAGAGACCCCCCCGAACCCCCCCCGTACCTTGTAGCAGGCCCAGTGCGCCAGGATGCGGCTCACGCCCTGGATCTCGGAGAGGCGCAGGTACTCGCACATCCGGATGGCCAGCGGGTAGAGCCGCCGCAGCACCAGCCTGGGGGGCAACGGGGGTCAGGGCACGGACCATGGGGGTCTGGGGTGTTGGGCGGCCCTGGGGGGGGGCTGGAGTGAGCAGAGACTAAAGCCAGGGAGGTGGGGACCAGGGAAACGGGAGCCACGGGGATGGAGACCGTGGGGATGGAGAACCACAGGGATGGGGACCATGGGGATGGAGAACCACAGGGATGGGGACCATGGGGATGGAGAACCATAGGGATGGGGACCATGAGGATGGAGAACCACAGGGATGGGGACCATGGGGAT